AAAAAGCTGCGCCAACCGGGAATCGAACCCGGGGCGTCAGAATGGGAACCTGACATGTTACCACTACACCATTAGCGCACAGCCTGGCTGAAATAACATTTCTATAGATTAGATATATTTTAATCGCTCCAGGCAATGGCTTCTCGACTTTTATCCGCTCATCAACATACTCTACTCCAAGCATGAGCTCAGACACACCGACCACTAGTACCACCTTGCCATAGTAGCACCCCACTCAACGGTCAACCCCTCGCTTCGGTCCCGCCTCTCTCCACATGCATTTTGTCATCGCATTGACGGACTCGACCCAAAGTCCACGCTTCTCCCACACTCAAAAACACACGCATCGTGTTTTGTTTTCTTCCGCAACACACCAATAAAACACCATCGTGCTTTATACGCGTCCCGTCAATACGACGACAGACTAGTACAGACCAGCAAAGCTCCATCCTGCGCTCCATCCTTCGAAGCCATCGCCAGTCAACGCAGCTTGCGGTGAGGCGGCAGAGTGCCATCGCATGGCCTTGTCGCGGGACCTATCGCGTCTACCAAAAAGGACCGAGTACCGTCGCTCACGTCATCGTCAAACAAGTTAGGGTAGCAAACAATACAATGCAGAAGAAGTTGTCAAATGGGATCGGTAGTAGCCGCAGGTACTATTACGAGCATCCGACGAATGGCGCGTCGCATCATCTTAGGTCGCCGCTTGCTGCTGCGCGTCATGGTGGTCGCGAATGACTTGAAAGTACGGGTGGGCCATCGCCTCCTTGGCCGTCAAGCGCTCTTGGTGGTCGTACTTGAGCAAATTTTCGAGAAAGTCGAGTGCTTCCGGCGTCACGAGGTGCTTGTTGTCGGCCGTGAGAAACTTCTCCCACGGCTTCTTCGAGTGCGTGCCAAGGATGCCATCGTACTGCGGGTCGAGCTCGAGGTCGTATGTCGAGAGGTACTCGAAGAGGTCTTCCGTACCGCGGACCTTGGCAATCTTGACGAGCTGGTCGTAGTTGTCGTTGCCGTGGAAGAACGGGTCCTTCTTGAAGATCATGCCGGCGAGGACGCAGCCGACGCTCCACATGTCGAGCGAGTAGTCGTACTCTTGCATGTCGACAAGAAGCTCCGGGCCCTTGTAGTAGCGCGACGCGACGCGGACGTTGTACTCGCGGTTCGGGTGGTAAAACTCGGCAAGGCCAAAGTCGATCAAGCGGAGCTGGCGCTTCTCGTGGTCAATCATTACATTGTGGGGCTTGACGTCGCGGTGCATGATGCCATTCGCATGGCAAAAGTCGAGCGCCTTGAGCAGCTCAAAGATATAGTAGCGAATGTCAAAGTCCGTCAACGTCGGGTACAGCGTCTTGAAGTCGTGGTTGTTGACGTACTCAAAGACCAGAGACGGCGTCTTGGACTGCGGGTCGCGGACGACGTCGAGGAGCTGGACAATGTTGGGACCACCCCTCAGATTCTGCAGAATCTTGATCTCGCGCTTGATCTTCTTCTTCTTGACGGGCTTGAGGATCTTGATGACGCACGGCTTGTCGTTGGCGACGGCCACGCCCTGGAACACCTCCGAGTACTTGCCGCGGCCGATCTTGCGCGAGACCTCGTACCCGTCCTGGTCGCCCCACGTCACCGATAAGTTCTCATAGTCCCAGTACTCGCGCGGCCGCGACTCGCACACGTCAGCGTAGACGCGGGCGCGTGACATTGCCCTTTGGTGCCGCCGTCGCTTTGGAAAAGTGCCCTTTTCTACCGAGCGAGGTCTGCGTGGCTGAAATCACGCCACTTAGCGCCACTCCGAAGGCACGACCGAGATGACTCACTCGTGGGGCGTGGCGATACCGAGCATTCAAGGTGCGCAATGCTCGAGTAGGCACAACGCGCGCGGTGGAAGAAGCGTGCATCAAGAAGGTGTATGGCAACCACAAGCAATCCCTAATTCCGTGCTGGAGAGATCCGATACAACTGTACTTGGTGGGTCGCTATGAGCAGCAGTAGCTCGACATTTTCTTTGTCATGATGGGGGTTGTTCGGACGCATCGTTCCTCGTAGTTGAGAGCAGACTGCGTCCTCGAGAGTAGAAAATTTGGTCAATACGTCGGCACGATCCCTATTATATAGACGAGCGCTTTTTGCGTTGTCTTACAAAGGCTTTGCATGCGTAGAGAGTAGCTATTTCCTTCGTCTTTATTCGCTCGCCGGGCCGTGGCTGCGCAGGCGGCGGCACGGCGGTTCGTCTTGCTCTTTTGCAGTCGCCCGGGGGAGCTTGTGGCCGCGAGTGAGGCCAAGAAAATAATGATTTGCTTGTCAATCCATGGGGAAACACGTGCATTCAGGGCTGAATCCCATGTTCATCTCGATACTGGAATGACCGAGCGATAGCACGTTGCTTAGCCCGGGGTTGGGAGCACGGACTCTTCTCGCCGCCTCGAGTTGCGTGCGATTAGCGCACTATTTTATTTGCGTCGCATTTTTTAAATTTCAGCGCAAAAACATGGGTGGCGGCTCCGAGGCTCCCCGGCACTGGCGTAATTCTGGCAAGTGCCAAAATTACCACATTTTGTAGCCGGTATCTTTGGTCATGATCTACGTACCGTCGCTGCCTGCGACCGACGTGGTCGCCGACGTCTTTGCCTACCTGCAGGCGCAGCTGCATGCGCAAGCTCACAGCACTGACGAGCTTCGGCCAGCCCAGACCATCGACGCCTTTGTCAGCGCCATCTACCGCACAAACCCGGTCCACGCATCGTGTGTGCAGCAGATTAAGGCCGACGGCCACCGCGCCCGCGCGCGCCTGGGCGCTATTCGGCGGCAGTGCCATGCCGATGCAGCGCAGCGAATCCAGCGTATTCGCGCGGCCAAGGCCATGTTTGCGAGCCGCGTCGACATGGCGCGGCGCGACGTGCAGATCAAGCAGACGCAGCATGCCGTAGCGCACGCGCAGCGTGTCGCGAGCGCCACAGAGCAAGTCGACGTACGCGCTTTGCATCAGTTCCACGTGCTTGGCAATAACGAATGTACTAGAGCCTCCTCTTTGCCTGTGTGGGCGAGATGCACAAGGCGCTGGCGCGGGCGACGCAGCGCGCACTCGGACAAGCCGACTCGGTGGAGGCCATGGTATGCCTTTTACACATCAACGCTTGATAGTAATCACAGAGCTAGACAAATGCGGCCAACGCCAACTTGCTCTGGTCAATCGTGCTTGCCCGTCTGGCCGAGGAGACGGGATCACCGCCGTTCGAGCACGTACCTCGGCTCGAGGTCCTCCCAAACTCGACGTTTGGCCTCTCCCCGCGCATGGACAGCATGGCGCAGAGCATATCGCCCTTCTTGCGCAAGCAGCTTAACCTCACTGATGCCGACGACCTTGTCATCACTCGCGTCATCCTCGTGCCAAGCAAAGCGTCCAGTACGTACACCCAACATTCTAGTCATGCTGGACACTGATTAGGTGGCGCCAAGCCGCGCCTTGTGCTGCCACCGACATCAACGACAACCGGTTTGCAAGCGCTCGAGCAGCTGCTATCGTGTGGCGACGTCGCTCCTTCCTCCAAGAAGAGCAAACGACCGTCATCGAGCCGACAAGAACGCGTCGTTGTCTCGATGTCGTCGTCGACACCGCTGAGCACATCGGCGCTGCGCTGGCTTCCACTGCAGCCTTCCACGTGCGTGTGATCTTCTCGAGACGGTGCGCCATGGTTGCTGTAGGTTACCGCAAAGCCCGATGAACGACCACCTCTACTTTTGCTTGGACGAGTATAAAATGCGATCCCAGCTCGAGGATCATGCCGCCATCACGGAAATTGCGTCACGCGACTGGACACCGAGCCGCACCGACGCGCTCATCGCCGCCTTTGTGCGCGCGCCGTCCGACGTGTGCGCCAAACTCGACCTTGCGAGTGCGTTCGACATTGACACGGTTCTGCGCAGCGACGACGCGGACCACGTCTTGCGGGCGACGTCACCCAGTGTGCCCCACCCCCCCTTGCACTTTGGCGTCGCATCGGTCGGCCACTTGATCGAGACAAAGCAGTGGCGTGAGTACGCGGCGCAGCTGCCCCCGGACACTCGAGCGTCCCTCGAACGACTGTACCAACGAAGCGTACATTACTGTGGCAAACGTCGGTTGTTGTAGGGCCCCCCACACGTTGCAGAGTCGGGGCCGGCTCTCGCAGCTCTACATGGCGACAAGTGCTATAACGAACGGTGCCCTTGTCGGTGCGGCGTTGCACCCGCTCTCGACAGCGATGCTCGACGAACTCGTTGGTTTGTATCTCTTGCGACCGATCAAAGTGAGCATTTTGAACCTTCAAAAAGATATGGCCCGTCGGGATCGATGTCGCGACTAGATGCCGGCCATGGCGACTACGCTCTTCGCACCGATGGACGCGCTTGGCGACGCGGCCCTTTGTCGAATTGACAATGTGTCTGCGTTGCTCACAGACAGTGTATGTGTGCCACATCGAGCGCTCGTGCAAGTAGCCACTCTCTCTCGATTCGAGTCAATACATCATGGCGGTTGATAGTATACAAGGGTGCCACTCGACCAAGCGACGCAAGGGCTTGCAGCTAACTGCGACGACCCCCTCGGGTCATTTTGTGCCTATCGCGGGTGTTCCCACCGCAATGTCTTGCGCCGACTGTGTCCTCTGCACGCTGCCCTGTGCGTACGTTGACCGGATCTCGCATTGTCGTAAGCTCGTCTTGTGCATAGAAGACCGCAAGTGTTGACGAGGCAGCCGAGTACATGGAGGCAACACCCTCGCTCGAGCCGACACTGACGGCGTGCGGGCTCTTGCCTGCCACCGAGCTCCGACAGATCAAACAAGCCAGCCGGCTGCTGGATGTAGGAGCAGGCTTGCTGACGTAGCAACGACTTGAGATTAGGATTTGCTGCATCGGCGACTCGAGACGCGTCTTCTGACACTCGTTACGGACAGTGTGACCACGGCTTATCATCGGCATGTCGTCGCTGAGGCACCAAGTGCGACCGTCACGAGCTTGGCCGCCGCGCTGGCCCTCGAAGAAGCCACAACCAACGACGTCCTCGGTCTCGCTCGCCTCGGTTGGTCGTCGTTGACGTCGCAGGCTCAATGCTCTACTATCTAGGAGTCTATCCAACAGCCGAAGTCGCGTTGCTCAAGCGGCTCGAACAGCGTTTTCAAACCACTGTACTACGCGTTGTGCGTCAATGGTGAGTGAATGGTGCGACACTAGGGCGGCAAAGAGGTCGACCAGCTACTGGCCTTCTGCGAGAAGAAGCACGCGCTCTTCCGCGCACGGCGCACCGACGAAGTACGCTCCTCTGCCATTGCACGGTGCGAGACGCACTGGCGTAGGAGGGCGCGCGACAAAAGCTGCGCAAACCACCGCTTCGCCATGCCAAGTCGTACCAACATCTGCCATCGCATCGTCGACCGCTGCAGATTGAGGGTCCGTTGCGCCCCGTCTCAGCACGCAGTAGTTGTAGCAGCGGCAGCAGCGGCAGTAGCAATGGCAGCACGGACCCTACCCCTTCCAGAAAGGCACCGACCAAGCGGCGCAAATAGCAACGTAGCAACACCACACACAAAAAGACAATATTGTCCATTGGCTACCACATGGCGCACAACTAGGCCACGGCTTGGTAGCCCGTCTTGCGGCGCGCTTGCTGGAGCCAGACGCTGCCCATACCGACAAGCACGATGCCAGCGAGCACCGCGAGTGGCCAGAGGAGCCCCGACGACGTTGTCATGGGCAGCACCAAGAGGCGCGACGTGTACGGGTTGAGGAACTTGCCTGTCGGGTCCCATTTCGCTTGGAGCTGCGCAAAGTTGTCAAAGCGCGGGTAGACCTTGCGCATCATGGCTGCGTCAAAGTAGTTGACCTTGCCGAGGTGCGGCCGCGCGCCAAAGTTGCTGGAGAGGACGTTCTGCATGCCGTGGTGGTACGCGAGAAGCGTTGTCGAGACATTGGCTGCATTGCTGGCGTTGGCATACACAATGGTCGAAAAGACTGCGGTGTGGCGACCGTAGAACGGAGAGAGCCAAATCGCGTCGGCTTGCACGTAGCGCACACCGAGAAAAATAGGAATCTAGATCCGAGATGAATACTTGGACGAGATCGACGCGGACGTACGGACGGGTCGTGGGCCGGCGCGAGGTTGGCGTGGAGCTCGAGCATGCGAGCGAGCCCGTCGAGGTCGTGTTCGGCCGGGATCATCATTTCCATCTCGGTAAAGAGCTTGGTGTTGTTCTCGCCGACGCGCCCGAGCGTTTTGTAGCTCACGTCAATGCACGACGTTGTGTTCTCAGGCCAGGACGACCATGTGAGCGGCGGCGGCGTCGACGGCGTTGACGCCATCGAGCCGTTCCAGCAGCCCGTCGTGATGGGCGCGGTCGTGTTGACTCGCAGAATAACTGTGACGGTCTTGTCGTGCGGGAGGTTCGCCATGTACCACTGCAGCCGCGGAAAAGCCTAGTCTCGAGGCATTAGGATTGTTTCGTATAGCGTTCGGATAGTTGATTTTGTGGATAGAGGGTCGTGGATAGAGGAGCGTACCGCTTGGAGCTTGCGCAAATCAAAGAGGAATTCATCATGAGGCATGTTGAACGTGATCTGCTCCATGTGCCAGAGCGGAATGTGCTCGAACGTAATGGCGCTCACGACGCCGAGCGTGCCCATGGCGACGCGCGCCGCGTTGAGGAGGCCGCCGCCGTCAATGTGGACGACCGACCCGTTGGCGACCACGATGTCCATGGCCACGATCCCCGTCGAGATGGACCCTGTGTTGCCCGTGCCATGCGTCGCCGTCGCCGTCGCGCCCGCTAGCCATGCGTGTGAGATGGAGGCATTTCGAGAGAGATGGTGGTCGTACCGGCGGTCTGGACGGCGACAGCGCCGGCGTTGGGCAAGGCGCGCTTGTGCGACGCGAGGATCTCGTTGATGACGTGGAGTGGCATGCCTGCCTGGACCGTGATCGTGTCTTGCGTGAGCTCGAGAAGGCTTGCGTAGTTCTCCAGCGTGATGAGCGTCTCGTTCGTCAATACGATGGGCGAGAACGAGTGCCCGGCGCCGGCGACGCGGACGCGGCTGGCTTTGGCCACGATCGCCTGCAGCTCGGGCAGGCTCGACGGGCGCGCATGCACTGCGGGATGGCACACCTGGCGCGTGTCCCAGTTGGTCCACGTCTCGCGGTCGCTGGTCATCGCCGCGACGACACCGACAGCCAGCATGGCAACCCACGTCCGAAGCATCCTCGGCCGACGAATTCTGGAAATGCTCCGTATCCGGACAGATCAGACGGAGCAAACAGTGGCATCGTACCGTGTACCCACGACCGAGAAGGATCCAAGGACCAGGCGTCTCGCCGTGCCAGTAGGCAACAGGAGTCCAAGTCCATCGTTCTAGTAGTTCTAGTAGGTATATATAAACAGCTACAACTCGTCGTACACTATAGCGTTCCTTGCACCGTGCCCCAGCTGTCGCAGCCGCTGTGCAACTCGTCGACGTGCAGCCGCTCGTTCACCATGATCAAGTGCGCTTGGCAGTAGCCTCGCTTTATCGCAGCGCCAAGCAGCAAGCACGCAGCTCGTTACACGCCACGCGGTGCCATTTGCAGCCGGTTGCTGGCCTCTCGTGGCGCCACGTCATCGCACCGCCTTTCTGGCCGCAGGCGTTTTGCTCCACGGACGGGCGCGCAACCACAAATGTGCAGCCTCGACATGCCATTGGATGTAGATGGACGTTGATGACACTTGTACTTTCTCTGCTAATCCAAACAACAGTATCGTCGAGTCCTACGATGTCGGTTGTGGTGGTCGCCGTGTGGCCGACGGTTGGTGCAGCACAAGGTTTTGATAGCGCTGAAAGACGCTGGACGCGTGCGCAATGCCCTCTGTGATACGAGTCTTGGCCGCCTCGAGGGCTTCGACGCCGTTGTACGTGGGTAGTTCGAGACCATCGAGCGCGGTTTTGAGCTGGCGGAGACGGTCCAGCTGCGCATCCACATGGTTGTGGTACTCGGTGCGGACGTTGTCGCGGATGGTGTGGAGCTGGTCCATTTGCGCGGCGTGCTGGCGGCATTGGTCGTCGAGCGAGTCGGTACTCGTCGTGGGCAGGCCGAGCATGCCTTGCGCATGCTGGAGCAGCACCGACGTGTCGTGCTGGGCGGGCTCGGCGTACCGCCTTGGTTGCTGCGACAGTTGGTGAAGAAGACGCGCATGGCATACCGACGTACCAAGCGCCGACGGAGAACGCCCATGTCGGCGGTGAGCGACGCTTGGACGTTGCTGAGGCACGTCTCCAGACCAGCCATCTGCGTCTCTTCGTACTTGAGCAAGTGCGAGAGCAACCTACACATAAATATGGGCGTGTTGCCAAATGAACTACGGCATTGAACAAGTACAGGAGCCGCGCCGACTGCCGCTCCAACGTGTCGAGGATCTACACGAGCGTAAGGCCACCTTCGTGTCTCGACCAGCGTGGCTACTGAAGCTTGGTCGGCCAAATGCCGCGTCTGCCGGTCGATCTTGTCCTTGTAGTCACCGAGCACGATGCTCGTCATTTGCAGTCGCCCGAGTTCGTCGAGCCGCAGCGGCAGCATGTCGGTCAGCAGCGTCTGCGTTTCGTCGACCACCGAAGCGTTGGCCGACACGAGCCCGTGATGGGTAGCCCTACTCGCAATGCACCATCCGTCGCCAAACAGAGTTTATTGCTGCATCAAGTACAACGTACGAAAGGGTCGCCGGGTCCATGAGTCGGGCACGCGCCAACGCATGCGCCATCTGCTGCTGCCGGTAGCTCGAGCGTGTAGCGCGGGCCGTCGCGTCCAGTTTTGTGTGGAGAGAGTGCAGTGCACTGCGCGGATACGCAGCGACAAGCCGATGGAACTCGGCATTGCACGCCTTGAACTCGCGCTCCTTGGCATCGTCGACAAGGTCCATCTCGTCAACGAGGCTCTCGTGGAGCCAGCGCACGCTGCTAGACCGGGTCGGTGACTCGGGGATGGTTTCGAGGCCAGACGGGGCAGGGCGTCGGAAGAGCGGCATGAGCTGCGCCTGGATGCGGTCGAGCAGCTTGTCTTCGCGTATCGAGAGGTGGGCGCAGACGGTCGGCGACAAAAACGCGAGCTGCAGCGCATTCTCCGTCTGTTCAAGCGCGTGCAAGAGGCCATCGATCGCATCGGTCACGGAATGGCTTTGCGCGGGCGCCGGCGCAACCATGTCGAGGCCTGTATCTAAAAGGCGGCCCGTCTCGATACGCTTGGTGGCCACGGCGGCGCGCAGCGCGGTCTGCTTCTTCGTCTCCATGGCGACCTGTCGTTCCAGCCGCGCAATCTCTTCCTGCAACGCATCTGCATCGTCCTCGTCGTCCTCGTCGTCGTCGTTGTCCATCGTGATGGCATCGCCTAGAGAACCAAACACCTCACGCTCCTTGGTGGCCAAGGCGGCGCCGTCCAAGAGGTCGATCGAGGCCACGAGCGCCCGGTCGTGCGTATCGAATTGCGCCGGCAGCGAGCTCTCGTCGTCGAGCGCATGCACGAACCAGTGCAAGAAGCCTTGGAGCCGCATGGACGGGTTGCCGTAGAGGGCCTCGAGCGCGTCGCTGCGCACGTCGATGGGGCAGCCCAGCGCGCCGAGCTTCCGCGCCAGCGCCAGCCCCAGCCCCGGGCTCGCCACGGGTGCTGCCATGGTTCAAATCTGTCGTCGACGTCGGATTGGACAATTTCTTGTGCCGTCAAACGCGCCCATTGGTGCGTTGCCGTTGTTTTAAGCCAATACACAAAGAGTGTTTGGTTCGGCATCTGCCGCATTTGACATCCGACCATCACTCGCATCCGGATACTGGGAATACGTGGGCCATTTCCATTGCAGCACAGCACCACCATGGCGCTACCAGCGTACGCATGGGCGCTATGGGCGCTCCTCGCCGTCGTAACGCTGCTCGTGCTCGGGTACATCGTCCGCCGCAAGGTGCGAGGAGCCTCTCGCGCCCGGCAGCTCCGTGCTGGCGTCCAGGGTGCCATCGAGAAGACGCTGTATACGACTGTCGCGTCGCCCCGCCAGCCATCACAAGGTATACACTGCAGCAGCTTGGGCGCCCCCGACTGATGCATTGCATATGCCGACTAGTGCCATTGATCTCGTCCAACGAGCTTGAGGTCGTCGGGACGCTCGGCGGTGGCATGTACAGCGTCGTGGCTAAAGCAGTCTACCAAGGCCGCGACGTCGCGCTCAAGACATTCAACTACATTAGCCAGTTGGACGACTTTGGCCGCCAAGCGCAGACCTTGTACCAGTACGTTCGAGCGCTCGCTCTGTAGAGAAACAGGCGTGTAGCCTCATTTCTGAGTGTGTAGGCTACGGTCGCCGTACCTCGTGTCGTTGGTCGCAGTCGCTGACGTAGCGTCGGCCACCCCGCAGCTTGTTTTTGAGTTTATGGACGGCGGCAACCTCGACAGATATATCTACCGGGTACGTCGTCCGCACTCGCCCGAGGCCATTGCGCTTGCTGTTGCCCGGGGTCTGCAGGGTTTGCACCACTACGACGTTGTCCACCGAGACGTGCGGTTGCGGAACATTCTCGTCGCGACTGACGGCCGCATCAAGCTCGCCGACTTTGGCTTTGCCCGCGAGAACGCGCCGCTCAAAGAGCTACCAAAGCGCCAAGAAATGAGAGCGTCGATGCCATTGGCGTACGGACCTTGCGCCTTGACAAGACCGCCACGCAACTACTGGGTCGCCCCCGAGGCGCTAACGTCCGGTGACGCGGGCACACCCACCGACATTTACCAACTGGGCACCGTCATGATCGAGCTCATGTGGCAGGACAAGCATGGCAGCATGGATGAGTTTGCCGTCTCGATCATGAACGTTCAAGCGGGCACGGCGACAGCCGACCTTTTCGGCGAAGCAGACTGGTACCATGAGCTCGCGCTGCGTTGTGTGGCCCACACACCGTCGATGCGACCAACCGCCGCCGAGATCGTATATACCATCGAGCAACATCTGCACGATATTGTCTAATGAATGTCTGCTGGTATTATTGCATTTGGTCGTGGTGGATAGTCAAAACTACTTACGAAAAGATTCGGCAGATGCCACCTTTGTAGCCCGCAACATTTTTGCTGGCGCCATTTTGCAACCGTCCCAAGCCGAGCAGTCATGACCTTCCCAGCGTAAGCGTGGGCCCTCGTGGTGCTCCTTCCCGTCCTGCGGCTTGGGTTCGGCCACCGCAGATAGCTCATCGCCATCGAGTTACACAAGCGCACATGTGTCTTGTATAAATATACAACGTGTCGACAACCTAGGGTTCGGGGAGCGCGCAGCGACACGTGGGGCACTCCATCTTGACGTGCATCCACTCTTGCAAGCACGGACGGTGAAAGATGTGGTCGCAAGGCGCAATCATGTAGTCCCGGGCGTCCATGTCCAGCTCGACCTACGGAATTCATCAGCACCGATCGATTCGACAAAAGTAGAGAACCGACCATGCAGATGACGCAATCAATCTCGTCGCCATGGTTGGCCCGCAAGAGCGACATTTGGTCGGCGTTGATGCGGCGTTCGTAGTTGTACTTGACGGGCAGGAAGCGCGCTGGCACAAAGAAGCGCGGGCCACAGCGTTGCTGTAAGAGCAGCACCGCAATCTAGCCACAGCAGAGGGTTGTCGAGGCCCCACGACACCGTACGACGTACTTGCAACGCGACCCAGCCCACGAGGAGGTAGCACATCCCTGGCTGCACTTGCATTTGGTACTAGACGCACGCCATGAGTCGACAAATGCCATCCAAACCGAAAATATTTCGAAAAAAATGAAAAAAAACAGGATTGAAGCACGTACCACGGGCAGCGCCGACAAAAAGTTGCTGGGGCAGCCGTAAAAGTAGAGCGGTAGAAAGAGCCGCGAGACCGACATGCCGAGGATGTACACGAGATCGAACGGACTGCGCACTTCCCGGTGGGCATTGTGGACGATCTGCGGCACCCAAAACGAAAACGCGAGCAAGACGAGCACATTGAGATAGTGCTAGCGTGGGCATCATCATCACCACAAGCTTCCGCATGGCGAAGGACGTACCCACGCATAGTAAATGAGGCAGAGACCCGTGAGGAGCGAGATATAAAAGCGCGAGTACAAGGTCGTGAGCTCGCGCCGCATGAGCAGCCAGCCTTGGGTAAAGTTCTGCGGCCGGCGCGCCTTCCAGATGACCAAGAGATACCGCATCTCAAAGATCGAGAAAATGATGAGCTCAAAGAACGAGACGGTCGCAAAGAGCGTAAAGATCTGCTGCGCGACGATGCCGACCGTCAAGTGCGCGAGACACAGGTACGAGTCGACAATGGCTTGCGCGCCGACCGTGAGAAGACTCACTTTGGCCGCCATGGCTTGCGTCGACGAGAGCTGCAGCTGCCGAAGGAGGAGGTAGATTTGGAACATGGCGAGGAGCGCCATCAAGATGGCATAATGCGACGCTTTCGAGAAGAACACGTCAAAGTTCTCGCCAACGTACGTGACGTTGGCACTCCAGTAGAGTTGACAGCCTTCGCTGCCGACAATGCCGTTCAGGCCGGCAACCGAGTGCTGGTGAAGCATGGTGACGGGTGCGGCCGACGCGTCCTTCTTGATGTCGGGCGATCCAATGTTCATGTCGAGCGTGTAGCTGCACTGGTCGACGAGCGACTGGCCCGTGCGAAGGCGCTGTTGCTGCTGGCCATTGTAGCTACTCGACAGGCGTGTATAAGCCTCCAATAGACAAGAGGAAGGAGGGGTCGAACATGGAGAAGCGGGGCGGCGACACTTCAAAATGCATTTGCTCGTCGTCGAGCGGCGCCGACTTGTTGGTGGATGTAAGCGACGAGGAAGAAGCGTTGCCTTTGGCAGTGATCGTCGCCGGCGATGACGTCGACGCTGTCATCGACGGGTACACGAGCTCGACTCGCGCGTCCGGGAGGTTGCCATAGAGCGTGAGGCGGCCAATGCGCCGGAGAAAGACTCCTTGCACGTTGAACATGGTCATGGCCAGCGTCGACTGCTTGTCGTGCATGATGACTTGGCCCGTCACGTACGCCACATCGTCGTTCATCTCCGCGACCGGCGTCGGCTTGGTCGTGAGGACGAGCCAAAAGACACCGCCGGGGGAGAAGGACGCGACGTCGGCCGTGTACGGGTTGAGGTTGGCGTCGTACTGCGCGTACGGCTGGATTTGCGGATGCACATGGCGCCCGACTTCGTTGGCCGCGGCCTGCGTCTTGTAGTCGGCGGCCTGCAACGGCGCCCAGAGCCCCGAGTAGATACCCGAGACGTTTTCGCTCTTGTTCATGTGCTATGTACCAAATCGATGAGTCCCAAGAGGCAAATGCAGATGGACGCGTACGCCGAGCGGCTGGACGTCGGCCATCTCGAGGCCCAAAAGGCGCTGGAAATATGCGATTTGAGTCGCTCGCTCCGTGTCATTGTCCGTGTACGGCCACTACAAGGCGCGTGAGCTCATGTAGCATGGGCGAGAGGAGGCGACCTGCGTGTTCTGGTGCGACGTCGTCTTTTTCGCGAGCCGCTGGCTGCGGTTCGTGCCATCGAGGAAGAGGATGAAGAAGCAGACAAAGATGGTCGTGCTGAGGAGCCGCTGGAGCCGGCCGCGCTGCATGTCCATCTGGTACTCCTGCTCTTCGCGGTTGAGGACGAGCATGTTGCCCGGGCCATTGAGCGTCCCGCCCGGCGAGGCCGTGTACAGGAGCACGACGCCGTCCCGGTTCGCCATGGACCCGAACTTCGTTTTTATTCCGTCCGGATACACAACCCGAACGCAATCGAACGCGGGGATCCGGATATTGGGGCGAAATAGGTTTAACTCATTTACCTAATAGGTTGAATGGGTGGAATGGTTGAACGTCGGGCAAAATGCGTTTAACGAGGGCCAAAGCCTGCGCGAGGCCCACGCCCAGCGCCAGTGGCGTCCTCTATATCTATAGTCTCATTGTGAACCACGCTCGGATAAGGTCTTTCGTGCATCAAGCTATGCAGCCCAAACTCTATTTCCCACACCGTTTCCCACGCGCAAAAAACGCGCAAAAAACGCGGTGGTTTTTGTACATATTGTCATCGTACGGGGCCTACAACGGACTCGACGCGTCGTGGGCGCTTCACTGCCTCAAGGATGAAGCACACTATATTCTTCACCCTGGGTAGCTCAAGCTGTACCCGTCGTGGCTTATGACGCTCGATCCAAACCCGTACAAGAATAGTGTGTATAATAAATCACTTCAGTATGCCTACAAATGGTACATAATGTACAAACTAACGCGGCGACCGTTTCCCGTGCTCTATTCAAGCATCGGAATCGCGTGGAAGAAGCGGCTGGGCGTCTCACGGTCGAGGGGCGCGCGGTGCAGGACGTACATGCGCCATTTTTTGATATCAAAGAGGTAGAGCCCCCCGGCGTGCTCGATCGAGATGATGCCGGCCATGAGCGCCGACGGTTTGTCGACAAAGAGCACGCCTTTGTGCGACCAGTCGTCGAGAACGAGCATGTATTTGGCCGGCGCCGAGAGCAGCAGCGACGGCACGTCCATCGACAAGCCGCTCTTGAGCACATATTTTTCAAGCAAAAAGCACAGGACGATTGCAAGCACGCAAATGAGAACGGAGAGGCCAATGCGGTGGACAAAGCCCACTTCAACAAACGCACTGTGGCAGTGCAAGCCAAAGTCCATGTCGATCGCGGTGCAGTGGCGGTCCGTGTAGGCCACGTGCTCGCAGGGCTCGAGCGCGGTCCAGACAATCATGATGAACCACGTCGAGAGCGAGCTCAGGAGCGCATACGTCGAAGTAAACTCTTGCGAGATAAAGCTAAAGCTGTCGTTGAGGACGAAAATGAGCCAGTTGAGCTCGCCCGCGGCCAGCACCAAGTTGTACCACAAAATAGTCGGCGACGTAAACACGGTATACGCCCCAATTTGAGAAATATTGAGCACGTTGGTGTGCAAAATGATCATGGCCGAGAGCGACCGAATCAGTAGGAACGGCCGCCCGACCCAGACAAGTCCAAATGTTCGGTTCATCTCGAACAGGTTCAGCCCCTCGATACGACCCCGGCTGTTGATGGCATAGAGCGCAGTAAAGCTGGCGAGGATCAAGAACACCATTGTGATGTACTGGACGCTGAGCGAGAGCACATTTGCCAGATCTTGACGGACTTCGGCGGGATTTGCCTGCATCGTGATCGTGCTGAGGGG